TGTGTGTGTGTGTGTGTGTGTGTGTGTGTGTGTGTGTGTGTGTGTGTTTCTGTCTCGGAGGGCATCAGTTTAGCACAGTTCTTAACACTAGCTAAGTAGACAAAGGTTTGAAGTTGATACCCTAGAGTTGGAAGGAACAGAGGACAGTCACCGTTCTGTGTTTGGGGAAGGCCTGAGAAACAAACGTTAGAAGTCCTTTATTAAAAGGAGAAGAAGAAAGGGGGTGCGGTGTCCAGTCCTCTCAAAGCAGAAGAAGCTATTGAGTTCCCCTCCTGGGTGCTCAAGCGGCTCACTCCCCGAGCACGTGATAAGGAAGGAGGAATTGAGATTTGAAAATGATGGGCTGTGGGGTTGAAGGCAGAGGAGACAAGGAGAAAGAGAGTAAGAGAGAGAGAGAGAGGAAGGAAGGAAGGAAGGAAGGAAGGAAGGAAGGAAGGAAGGAAGGAAGGAAGGAAGGGGGAAGTTTGTTGGAAGGGCAAGATGGGACTGCAAAAGGGAGGCTTAGCTTAGTTGAATTTGTAATTCAAACTCTTCTTGAACACTCCTGGTTTCTGTCCCATTTTCCTTCCACCTGGTTTTGCACGGTAGACCAGAGTCACAAGGGGCGGGGGCAGGACTGAGGAATCCATGAGCTGAGAAATAAGTAGTAACTAGAATTTTGACTCTGAGGTCAACTCAGTGTTTGCTTCTTTAGAGCCACCTTGGAGTTAGGTAACCCAGGGACTTACCAATTCATGTAAAGTCCTGTTTCTTTCCAAAGAAGCCCACATGGGTCCGGATGGATTTTGCTCTGGAGATTAAGCTTCAAGGAGACAAAACCTGGAAAATTGAGCTGGATAGAATGACACATGCTTGGGAGGTGAAGGAGGATCAGGAGTCCAAGGCCATCCTTGGCTACATAGACACTTTGAAGTCACCTTGTCTCAAGATGGAAAAACAAACTGGGAAATGAATTTATTATAAATCGAACCATATTCCAAATACGTAAAACGAGGTTCATTATTTTGTTGTGAAAACTTTCGTGGAGATTTAAACCAAGAAAAAAATTGTGGGTTTTTGTTTGTTTGTTTGTTTGTTTGTTTTATTGGCTGCTGGGTTCAAGATAGGTCTGAAGTAGCCCTGGTTGGCCTGAGACACAACATGGTCTCAGACCAGCTCGTCGCTTGCAGCAATCTTCTTGCCTCTACCTTCCAAGTGCTGAGACTACAGGTACACCACACATCCGTGTCTGTTTCTAATTTCTATTGATGCTGGAGATTAAACCCAGGGCCTTGCAGATCTAAGCTCACTCTACCATTTGGCTATACTTCCAGCCCAGATTACTGTTTTGTGCCTAGATGACCTAGGCTGTGCTGTCTCATGAGTAGTATGGCAATCATGATGGTTATTGGAATGCACGTGAATTCAATCTGGGTCCTCTGAAGAATGGCAAGTGCTCTGAACCACTGAGCTGTCTCTCCAGCCCCAAGCTTGGACTTTGAAATCTTCATTTTAATGGGCGGGCAGGCATTATTTTCACTGGGATTGCTTGCATAAGCTATAGAAAGGCTTTACTTAGAATTACGCATGGCAGACATGCTTATTCTGTAGGAAACTGACAGTTATACACAAAAAAATTTTTTTTCTGAAAACTTGGAAAAAGCACACAGAATGAGTTTCTACCCGAGAGATAATTTGTCTTTGAAAGCTTGGTTCCCACCAAAAGAGTTTCTGCAAGAAATCAATAGAAACTTTAAGTAAAAGAAAGAGTTAGCAATGGCACTTTAAAAAAATCTTCTCATTGCATTTATTTGTGTCTGTGTATGTTTGTTTATGTGTGTGGGTACATGTGCCATGGTGTATATGGAGTTCCCTCCTCCTACCTTGAGGGCTCTAGGGCTCAAACTCAGGCTATTGGTCTTCATAGCAGGCACTGCCTCTCACTGAGACCTCTCATTAGCCTCAACAGGTCTCATGCCTGTACTTTGAGGGGTTCTTTCTAAAGAAACCATTTATGCAGCCAGATATGGTGGCAAACTGGCGTCAATCCAGAAGTCAGAAGCTGAGAAGTGAAGTGGGACGTTTCAGTGTGCTTTTCTTCTGGCTTCCATTTCTCTGAAACATTGACAGTGACCTTTCGTGTTACTTACGTATAAAAAGAAGAGGCTTGCTTTTTTTTTTTTTTTTTTTAGGGCGGTGTTACCACCAGCCAGTGAATGACTGCCGGTTGAGGCAGGGGGTGGGATGACACACAAATTGTCCCGGGAAATTCCAGCCGGGATAGAGAACAGAGCGAGCTAGGCTGGAGGGTCTGTGCTGTGCCAAGCACCAAGCTCACCTCGTCAGATGTGGCTGCAGAAGGAACTTGGAGGAAGCAGAGAAATCACACAACCTTGCTCGCAGCTTAGGCATTCTAGGGAGCTGGGAACGTTCTTGTGTGGTGGCTGACAGGTGGCAGCCATCAGGAGGAAGTTCAGAGAAGGTCTTAGGCCTGGAACTTGGGCTTTAAATGATGGACATGATTTTTATAGCTAGGAAGGAAAAAGCATTCTCCGTGCTCTAAGCCTGTGAGCCAAGAGGCCAGAAGTTACAGAGCACACTCCAGGAATCTGAATTGACCAACTCTGTTGGAAGAGATGGACTGGCTAGGAAATCTGTCATTTCAGTGAAAAGATCAGGGCCAGGCCAATTAGGGACAAGGAATGGCTGGCCAAACTTGGTGCTGGAACTTTATCTGCTGGAAATGGAGAATGAGGGGAGGGTTTTAAGTAGGAAAATACAGGCATATGTCATTTTGTGCTTGGGAGATACTATTATTATGTAGGGTTTGTCCAATGCTGAGTCAATCAAGTCCTTCCTTCCAATGGCTTAGAGAATTGCTAGCAACTTTTAGCAATAAAATATGTTACATGACCAGGTGGTGGTGGTGGCACACACCTTTAATCCTAGCACTTGGGAGGCAGAGGCAGGTGGATCTCTGAGTTCAAGGCCAGCTTGGTCTATAGAACAAAATCCAGGAGAGCCAGAACTACACAGAGAAACCCTGTCTCAGAAAACAAACACAAAAAGATGTGTATCATTTTATTAGACATAGTTTCACACACCTAATAGACTCCAACATAATTAAACGTAACTTGGATATGCTGAGGAAAGCCCAAAGAATTCTGTGTGACTCACTTTATTCTATTCACTTTATGGCAGTGCTCTGGAATTGGCCCTGCCATATCTCCAAGACGGGTTGTGTTTAAGGATTACTTAGGCTTAAGTGGCTATTGAAGGGACCCAGGGGGACAATGGAAATATGATCAAAATAATTTTGATGAAGATAGAAGAGGGGCTGGAGAAATGGCTCAGCGGCTAAAAGCGCCTGCCGCTCATTCAGAGGGCTTGGATGGTTCCCAGCTCCCTTGTCGGGTAGCTTACAACTGTGTATAATTTCAGCTTCAGGGGATCCAACAACCTCTTCTGGCCTTCACAGGCGCGCACGCATGTAAGCACGCAAATAATAATACTTTAATATTAAAAAAGAAAATGACAGTATTTTATAGATGGGCAGGGCTCAGGCATCAAGCCATATCTAGATGCTTTGGGCGGTAGGATGTGCCATAAGAAGCCGGCATTCAGAGCAGACGGAAAATTTCTTTTGAGAAACTCGTGTTCAAGGTCCTGTTAGAACCTGGGTGGAAGCGGCTGAGGAGAATGGGTGAGTCATGGATGTGCGCTCCACTCGATGGAAGTGATGGCAGGTCCCAGGTGTGACTGAGCACCTGAGCTGGAACCAGTTGGCAAAAGACCAGTTTGAGGGAGCATTCTCCGTTAAAAAGTGCCTCGGTATGATGTGGGCAAAACTCCCTCCTCATAGACCACAAATTAGTCATTCCTGGGGCTTTTTGGAGAGACCAAATGATGATGGCTCAGCAGTGTTCCAACCAAAGCACTTTAGCTCAGTAGCTCCTAACCTGCCTCGTCAGACTGAGGTGCCCCACCCCTACGAGCTGCAGCAAATCATCCTGGGATCAGCGTCCATGTTTTTAATAAGCCCTTTCAAACACCCTGGAGTGGTGATAACTTGGGGATAACTTTTGTCTTCAAGTCTTCACCGGTTTATGGTCTGACTAGAAACACCCCCAAGCCTCCCAAGACTCTCCTACGGAGATCGAGAAAGTGCTAGCTTACCATGCATTCTTGTCAAAACTGTCCTCTGGGGGTTGGATGGACAGTCTTTGACAGGCGGTACTCAGTACTGTTCTCATCCTAGTGACCTGCTGCCTTCCGAATTTAGCCTTGGCTGGAAGGAGGTGGTATTTCTGAGCCCTGTGTGGTGGGGCGTGAGTCAAACTCTGTACATGGAAGCCTGTGGGGATGATGCAATAACCCAGCTTGGGCAGACCACTTCCTGTACCTTTGGATTCACAGACCTAGGGTGTGGCGGTTGGCAGTATCCTCAGGAGCAGACTGTTTTGCCGATGTCTCTAGGCAGCTCTGTCAGCCTAAGGTGAGGTGAGGCAAGCCGTAAGCTGTAAGGCCAGCAAGGTTTCACCGGGTCTCCTAGCTTAAAGACGGATACATCTTCAGAAAACTGGACTAAGTAAGACTCCAAAAGGCACCGGCCATGGATGCAAGAAATACCCACCTACATACAAGTCTATTTATTTCTTATTGTCACAAAAGAAGCGGACAATTACTTTCTGTTTTTCCATAGCCAGTCCTACTGCCCACAAAGCACATTTGAAGGCCATTGCTCCAACAGGTCAACTTCAGGTCCAAAGGAAAAAAAAATGTTTTCTTTTTTCTCTACAAAAGAAATCTCCTCCCACCACTGTGGCAGCTAGAGACGTGTACAGTTTATTTCACGGGTTTCCACCTAAAAGTACAGCTCATTGAATACGCTGATTTCATTCAAAACCACCTTTCGCTTACCAGCCTTTAAAAAAATGTATTAAAAAAAAAAACAGTTTGGCAGCTTTTTAAATCTAGCGTGTTAGAGGGCCCAGTGAAGAGAATTTTGCAACACTATCAGTGTTGGAACTAAAGCAGGACACTAAACAATATTCAGGATGTTCACTTCTCTAAATTAGGAGGGCTTCTTTCTTCAAAGCCAAGATTTCCTGGTAAAATTGTATTAGCAATAGTTTTGTTTTTTTGGTTTTTTTTTTTTTGATGATAGCATCCAAATTAGGCATAGGTAATGTGGGGTTTCATCAAGAACTTGGGAGATGGCTGATTGAGGATGAATACCTGCATATTCACACCCTCACAGTCCTGGTCCCCCCTCCTCCCAAGAATGACTTGCCAGAACCAATTTAGAAACGTTTAACAGCCGGGCGCGGTGGCACACGCCTGTAATCTCAGCACTCTGGGAGGCAGAGGCAAGCGGATCTCTGTGAGTTCGAGGCCAGCCTGGTCTACAAAGTGAGTCCAGGACAGCCAAGGTTACACATGGCTTCAGATGAGATTCATTCCCCCAACCACCTCAACTTGAAAAAGTTCTCCTGTATACCATTACCTTGACTTTCTGATCCTTTGGCCTCTACCCTCTGAATGCTTAGGATCACAGGTGTGTGCCACAGTACTGGGATGTGTAGTGCTGGGCATTGAACCCAGGGCTTCCTGCATGACAGACAGGCGCTTTGCCAGCTGAGCAAATGCCAGTTGACACAGGCATCAACCGCCAAGGGCTGCTTCTTGAAATCTGACCTTGAGAGTCCCTGGTATTTATTTTATTTTATTTTATTTTATTATTGTTGTTGTTGTTGTTATTATTATTATTATTATTATTATTATTATTATTATTATCGTGGTATGAAACCCAGGGCCTCACAGAAGCTAGGCAGTCACGCTGCATACCTGATGGTGTGCATTGACTATTTGGACTGCATTTCTAGAATGTTTGTCTTTCTCGGTGCACAACAGTCGTGGGCTTCAACAGGACTACCAGAGTAAAGGGACAATCAATTCATATTATTACATTGCAGATCTCTAAAAAACAAACAAACAAACAAAAAAAAGGTAAGTGGAGATGGTCTTGGGAGCGGAG